TTTAAAGCTATCTTAATGAAACTTTGCAGACGTCCCTCTTTCTGTTGCACGCAGTACATATGTCGGAACAAGCTGGGTCGGACCACTATATTATATAGCCATCATAAGAACGATTGGTCGAAAATTAGGTTCTTGTATAGCAAATTTTTTAGTTTTTCAAGATATCTTGACCGAACTCAGCATTTATTAGTTTTACTATTCTCATCATAAATATGCGAATTCCTATCAACATCGGACCACTATATTATAAAGCTGACATAGGAACGATCGGTCGAAAATTAATTTGTTGTATGAAAAACTTTTTTGTTTATCAAGATATCTTGACTAAAATCGGCATTAACTATTTTCCCTGTGCTTCTTAGACACGGACAAAGCACTATGAGCATTTTGAAAAGGTTGGGTCTGCAAGGGTATTAAATCTTCGGCGTGCCGAAGATAGCCCTTCTTTCTCGTTTTATTTTAAGTTTACAATTCATTCGTTCGCCTATTTTTAATTTAGCAGATCCTTCTGATATGAAACAAGCAAGCGAGAAACCTATTACAAAAATACCAGCTGTGTGCAGCGATGCAAAGATTTTTTGCTGGTCTTCCCATATCTTTGGCTATCCAATTGCCAAACTGGTAAGTCCGCATTAATTACGTGTATTTTACAGCTGTACTGTATGAGAGAGCGCTGAAGGACTCAAGGACTAAAACACAATACAGTCAAGACACAAGCCCAAACCCAAAGCACATGGCTAATCAGCTCTAATGCCGCCCAGCGCCCAATCCGCTTGTCAGAAGTTCCAATACATTGTTCGCAGCAGCAGCAGCAGCAGCAGCTTCTGGATTGACATCATTAAGACCACACCGCATAGGAGCTGCTCGTGTGGAGAGCCACTCGGCGAGGCTTAAGCAGTGGCCAGCTAATAACCGCCAAGAGGGAGGGGGCTGGGGCAGGTAGGTAGGGGTCTTCTCCTGCCGCTGTTGCGTAGCGCCACTTAAGTAAAGACGCTGTGCGTCAGCGTCTACACTGGAACCAGTCAGCAGCGCTCCTTTTTCCGTCCCCGTCACCGGTTGTGCTTGTTAGCTGTCAAACTCGAAAATTTGCAATGACAGCAAACATTGGCAGCGCCAGCGCCAGCGCCGGCGTCTGCACCAGTGGCAGTGGCAGATAAGCAGCAGCAAAATGAACGCAGCGCCGTTGCACAAACTAAAAACTCATTGTCAGGCGCTGTCTGTGCCAACGAGGCAAGCCGCAACCCGATCCGCATTGGGGGTGCGTTGCTGCATAATAAACTGGAACTGCAGCAGCAGCACCAGCGTTGCACAGCGGCGGCCAACGGACAGTCGAAGCACCGTCTACAGAGGGGCAGCGGGTCAGAGGCAGGCTCAGACGCAGGCTGGAACAATAGGGCGCCAGCTAGCTGCTGCTGCTGCTGCTACGAGCTGCGTGGCCCGCGGCCAGAGGTTTGGCGGCAACTGCCGGAGCGCAAAGAAACAATAAACACACGAAAATAATGTAATGAGTGGCAGCAATGGGACAAGTGCAGCTTAGGCTGTGAGTGCAGCGACAGTGGCACAAGACGGTAAGACAAATGGTCAAATTAACTATAAGCGAATAAATACACGCACAGAGCATCTGCTGTGCAGAGTGTTTTTTTAAGAAAATTGCCTCTCAAAATATTTTTTTTATTTATTACTAGAAAAGATTACGCGGCGAAACGTACTCTTTTTATTTTCTTGCTTTTTATACCCTTGCAGAGGGTATTATAATTTTGTCGTGAAATGTGTAACGCATAGAAGGAGACATCTCCGACCCCATAAAGTATATATATTCTTGATCAGTATCAACAGCCGAGTTGATATAGCCATGTCCGTCTGTCCGTCTGTCTGTTTCTATGCGAACTAGTCTCTCAGTTTTAAAGCTATCTTTATGAAACTTTGCAGAATTCCCTCTTTCTGTTGCACGCAGTTCATATGTCAAAACCAGCTGGATCGGACCACTATATCATATAGCTGCCATAGGAAAAACATTTTTGTTTATAAAGTTATCTTGACTAAACTCGGTATTTATTAGTTTTACTACGCTCCCCATATATATGCAAAATCCTATTAAGATCGGACAACTATATCATATAGCTGCCATAGGAACTATCGGTCGAAAATTAAGTTTTTGTATGGAAAATTTTTATGTTTTTCAAGATATCTTGACCAAACTCGGCATTTATTAGTTTTATTATGCTCCCTGCACTTATGCAAAATCTTATTCACATCGGGCTACTATATCATATAGCTGCCATAGGAACGATCGGTCGAAAATTAAGTTGTTGTATGGAGCCCTGTTTTGTTTTTCAAGATATCTTAACCATACTCGGTATTAACTATTTTCCCTGTGCTTCTTAGATACGGGCAAAGCACTATGAGCATTTTGAAAAGGTTGGGTCTGCAAGGGTATTAAATCTTCGGCGTGCCGAAGATAGCACTTCTTTCTCGTTTGTTGTTAATAATAACATTTAAAGTAAAGATATTTAAAAATGAACACATCATGCTAGATTTGAACCGGCAACTTCTCGCTTGTTAGTTTCACGCTGAGACAACTAAGCTGTGCTGTTTTTGAGGGTTTTACTTTGACTAACCTTTGGCCCTGCATGCTTTCCGTAACCCCGTCTTAATACTTACTCTCGATCCTAAAGTAACCTTCAGTATAAAATTCTAATTCAACATAAATCTATATAATTAATATTTCAATGTAGTATTCGTAATGCTGCAGATCTGGTACTAGTTGTATTTGAAAGCGTGTCAACTACTGATGTTTTATGTGTGTAAACTGACTGAACCGCCAACTTCTCGCTAGTAAGTTTTACGTTCAGACATAGTAAATTGCTCATTTGACTACCGTTTAGCTCTACATTCGCGTCGAATTCTGATTGGAAATAAACTTATAATTGGCTGTAGTATTCGCATCAATGCAGATCGCGTACTACTCCTATTTTAACTTGCAGTTTTCGCAACAATGCTCATTTTAGCCCACTGTGCACAACGACACCATGGTCACTCTATACTTTTAGTTAAGGAGAGGGTACTGCAATATAGTAAAGAGCATATTAAATTCATTTTAAAACATGCACCGTGAGAAACTCGCCGAGTGGGCGGCTACGCTTTGCTTTGGGTAGAGTAACTGCTGTGAGGGGAGCTGCCACATGGCATCCATAATTGATGCGCCCTGCATTACTAGACAAAAAACATGCGGCAGACAGAGAGCGAACTGTATTAATATAGAAGGAGAGAGCAGGAAAGAGTGAGGGTGAGAGAGTGCCGAGTGCCCTCAAAGGGCAGCAAACAGAACGCTGCTGTCTCCGCTTGTCCCTCTGCAAATGTGGCACATGCAACTGCGCTGTGCGGCAAAAATCAACGACGCGGCAGCATCCAGCAAAAGCTCATGCCCCGCTGCTGCTGCTTCTTCTTATTAATTAAGAATTATTTTAATTAACGTAATAAATTTGCGGCCTGGCAAAAAAAAAAGGCTCACAATGCGCACTCGCATAAACATTTTTTTTTGTTTGCTTTAATTCTTTGGGGCCAGGTTCGCGACTTTGGACTTGGACTTGGGCAGCGACTGTGCTTGCATGTGCGCTTCGTTGCAGTCCCAAAATGTGCGAAAATTTATGTTGCATGCGATTTTGGTGACTTGTTTGCAACTTGTTTGCCATGTTCGATTGAAGCCAAAGCCGAACCACCGAAGTCAGCCAGCAAGTGGGTCATCAGCAGCAGCAGCGGGTACCGCTGTGGTTGCCACTGCCGAATTTCAATTAAATGCACATAAATTTAAAATTAGTAATAACTTCGGGACGTGGACCTGGACAAAATGTAGCCAGGCACGCAACGCGGACCGGGATGACGCAGCTGTCGCCCGCATTGTGAAGCGGACGTGACCCGTTGCCCGCTCCAGCCCCAAACACACACACACACACACACACACACACACACACCTGTCGACAGCCTCAACTCGCCGGATCGCATCCAGTTAAAAAATCTGTGTGCCTATTAATTAGCCAAACTTCAACACCTGCTGTGTGCCGCAGACCAAAAGTTAACTTGACAACAGGCCAGGCAAATTTCAGGTGCCCCCTTTTTGCCGCAGCTCTTCTTCGTATTTGGGCTGTGAATTGGAAAATAATTGTGCGACGGCCATTAAATTACAATGCCCAATGGACAACGTTAGACAAGCACTGGCATCGGCCAGATTGTAGACTGATTCAAGGCTTGGCAGCGCCGGGTGGGGGGGACGCTATATCTGGCTTTGCTTTTGGACAGCAGCAGGTGCCAAAGCACATTGGCCACGTCCCGGCAATTATGGGCATTATAAATAAACAAAGACCGAATAGTTATTAACTAATAACAGGCACGCGCTGCAGGAGCGGGAGTTTTTGATAAACTACATAAAACTTTCATGCGACGGCCACCTGGCGACAGGTCGAAGGTCAAGGCTGTCAATTTGTTGAAGAACTGGAAAACAAATCAATGAACTTTGAACAGCCAAAGTTAATTGCCCGAATTGGTTTACGAACTGGACTGTTAGCCCTAAACGTCTGATTCGCAGATAGCCGAAAGTTTGTGTGTGCCCCGACCCCTCCAAATAAATATTGACATTCATTAGCGTACAAATATGAATATGCACACAATATTGACTCTTATATGTTTATTTTCAAAGGGCAATTCCAGTTAAGTGCAAGTCCCCAGTGCGATATCAGATTGAAGCAGGCCACACCCGCTAAGGACTATGGTCAGATAGGGCGAAGCGCTTAAAAAAGTGTGAAGTGGGCAATTGGAAAGTTATTTTCAGCCCTTTGATATAATCAGAAGCAAGTAAGCTCAGACTTAGCAGTCTTAAGAGGATTACGTTTAAAGGCAACTTATGCATAAGATAAGAGTCCTTCTAGCAGCTGTTCTTCGATTTTAACCATAGCTTAATAATTATAATAATAATTATACTCAATATATAAAATCTTTCTACTTACCCTTTATTTATATATTTCTATAGTAGATCTCTATGTTTTCCTTATCGTGTTAGCTTTGGTATCTATAAAATAAATAATCAGTTTTTGAAAATTATTCATATGCATACTTCCATGTAAATTTTAACATTCGTCATACAATTCTCTAAAGGATATCAAAACTCGAGTACACTCAAATTCTCACCCTCCGGGACTTTCACATTTAATGCTGTTTAACCTTAACATTGTTGATGGGGATTTGAGCTGCGTATTAGGTAGCATTCGACATAATCGAACTAATCAATTTGCGTGAATAAACTGCACACGGTTTATTATCAGGTGGGCTGGTGGCACGTGGCGCGTGCCACGTAGCCGCACGGTGGCGCCCATGCGCCCCATGCGCCCAATGCGACATAAATCTTTATTTACAAAAGTGTAAACAAAAATTACTCATTCACGCGCATTTAAAAGAGACGCCGCATTCGCCGGATGCGAGCGGAAACAAAGCAGAAGTGAAAACGTAAAAGCGGGGGTGGAAGAAGCGTGAAAAAGGCTGAAATGCGAAAAATCAACGACTTCCACAGGGGCACAATGGAAATGGAAATAGGAATGGGAGCCAGGGAATAAGCAGGCAGCTCCAAATGTGTGTATTAGCATGTGTGGCGGGCCGTTGGGGCGGGTATTTGCGAGGGGGGAGCAAGTACTAAAAACCCCCTAACACAAACCCTATGCGCACGCTAATGGCTCTCCAGTGTGTTTGACGTCGTCGCTGATGTCGATGCGAGGCGAGGCCAGGCGGCCCCTGTGAGCCCAGAGCAGCCTCTCGGCTACAAATTCAGTCCCTGCTCGTGCGCCGGCGTTGGCCGCGTTGAAAAGTCAATGATTGCCGCGTTGCGGAAATTAACGGAAAATCAGCAGAGCAGGCGAAAAAGGCAGCTGCCTGTTAACAACATCGACAACGACAACAACAACAGCAACAAATACGCAGAATGCTTGATTTAATGTACAAAACTTTTTGATGTTTTCTGATGCTGGCAACCGTGAGACAGAGACTGAGCTCCGCCACAGCCTAACATCAGGCAGACATTTTGCTTATTTAAAAGTAATTATGGGCACAACCCGAGCACCTACGACGTCTCAGTGTCAGTTGGAACGGACCTAAAGACTCGTCCGTGCTGCTTACTCTCCTCTCGTCCTGTCAGCTGCCAACTCATTCAAGCAGAATGCGGCAAATCACGCACCCTACTTTGGGCTCGCGCCGGGTCCGGGTCGAGGTGTAGTACATATACATATTTCGTATAAATGTATACAAATTATGCGTATTTATCAGGAAAATTCAATGAACTGTAAATGGTGTGGAAGTTGTTCATGTGAGTCGACTGTGCGTGTGGGCATGTGTGTGTGCGAGTGTGTGTAAAGGTGTTTTGCGCCACGACCCATTGTTGTGCTGCGGTTGTCTGTTACAACATTAAGCCAAGGGGTCGGCCTGAGAATGCGCACAGGTGTGTGTCAAAAGGCATGCGAAATGGGTGGCAGGGGCAGGTGTTAGGGGGTCGGGGCTAGGCAGCCAAGTGACAGGAGGTGTGGCAGGGCCATAGCAATGCATTCGAACGGGGGTGTTAAATAATGAAGAGGCAGCTGGGATCGGGACGAAGCCAAAATGTCTTTTGTACGTGTGTGTATTGGGTTTATATTAAAGTTTAGCTGACATACAAAACACTAATTAAGGAATACAAGAGGATGAAAAATTGAATAAGGGGAAAGGTTTACTGGAGAGAAGAAATCCGAAAGTTTATTTTGTTCGAATCCCTATTGCAACTAGCAATAGCAATAAAGTGAGAATAGAAATGAACTGGAGCTGTTGGAAAAAATGAAACAAGACCGAAAAATAAATGTGTTTATTCAAATAGAATTGTTTATAGCAGAAATAGTTTAGGTTCTACTCAAAATATGACAATCAGAACATATGTACATGTATAAAAGGGGCCAAAACGGAAGAAGTATTATAAATAAGATTATTTCTAGTTGTACAACTATATATATTGCTATTTTAGAGACAGCAATAAGACAGTAATTTAATTGTTGCCGCAGAGGAAAAGAAAAGTGAACACGGCCAAAGTTAAAGCTCCAAATCTATAGTCTAGCAAGTTCTCATTAAATATGTGATATCTTTAAAATTTATGGAATTGGTTTTGCCTTTCCAAGTACACTTTTTTCTAACATTTTGAACAAAGTAATTCGGATTCTAAAATCTAGCGTCTTGGATCATTAAAACTTTAGCTTGGGAACTGCATTTGCTGACTGCTGTTGCTGCTTTTGCTGCTGCCGCTTCTTCTTCTACTTTCCTTCTTCTTGTTATTGGCATTGTTGTTAGGAGCAGAGCGGTGCTTGCCACTTGGCAGGCGAGTGGAAAACTTTTCATTTTACAACAACTGCTGCAAATGCGAATGCGAACTGTGAACCCAACCCGGAAGTGAAGGCGGACAGAGGCGCGGTGCGGTGCGGTGTGGTGTGGTGTCGGGGGTAGGCAAGTGTAAAAGAAATAAACGGACTTAAAATAGGAAAAGTCAACATGAGATGTGCGTTGTGTCCTGGGACAGGACGTTGCCTTGCTGCCAGGGACTAACTTATTTTATTTCCAGCACAAGGCGAAAAGGCGGCGCAATGTCCTGACATGCTACAACAGGAGGACAACGCGCACACTGGCTAGGGGCTAAGTGCAAACGCAAAGATGAGATTTCTTCCATCCACATCCTCAGCTCCCTCAACTAATACTTGTTTTTAGGGTGTGGGGTGTGGGGAGGTCGCAAAAGCGTAACGGCGCTCAAAATGACTGACACGGCTTGCTGGTCACATGGTCAAGAGCGTGCAGCGAGCCGTGGCTAGAAAGTACACACACCAGCTCCAGCAGACACACACCCACACACACATACACACACACACGCACACAGACAGACAATACGAAATGAAATTCCATCGCTGCTCCCCCCAGTAGAACATTTTGTATCTGGGCTTAGTTGTTTTAAACTTTATTGTTTACGCTTGTGATCAGCAGCGCTGCCGACGTCAACGTCGCCATTTTGTTGACTGCCGCCATTGATGCTGCCTGCCTGCCGACTGCTGCATCTTCTTCTTCTTTATCTCCTACAGCTTCTTCGTGCTCTGCTTCTTGTTCAGCTCGCACTTTGGCCCATTGTGTGGCTCTAAAACATAAACGGAAGCGATTTATGGCGCAAACACAATGAACGAGTCAGCAGCAGCAACAACAACAACAAACACAACAAACAGCAGCAAACAACACACAAGAAAATGACGCACAACAAAGGACACGGATACGGTCAGCGCAACAATTTGTGTAGTGTTGACCAGCATCACTCTTCAGGCTCCTACAGCTACACATCCCTAGACTTCCTCGCTGTCCTGCCAGCTCATAAAAAACACAAACAAACGGACGTCAACTCAGATTTAATTCGGGGTTTGGGCAGTTGGGTAAAGTCGAAAACTTGTTCAAAGTTCTGCCAAAAACAAGCTAAAAATCATTTTGCCGCGTTTTTCAAATAGAAATCATTTTACTTATTAATCAATTTTAATATATTTGTCAATTAGTCAATTTCTTTTTAATAAATGGAAATGAAATCCGCAGTATCCACACAAGAACTCAACTAAATTATTTCATGATAATTGCTTATCTTATAATATTTTTAATTATGGCAAGTTGCAGGCCTAAGTATTCTAAGTTCGGTTTGGGCTTATTTTAAAATAGTTTTATGTCCATGTAAGCTCAGCTCGGCAATGTGGCAAATGGTCCACAGGCTGCTTGGTATATAAATCTTCAGGTTTTAAGGTAGGTTTTCAGTTACACCCAAAGAACTTGGTTCTTCCACAAAATGTACACTTTTTGTTTATCTTAGCTAAGCAAAAGTTATCTCTATGACAAAACGAAAGTGTATATAGGCAAATCGCATACAAATACAATTGTATGGCCACCAAAATTGTTCCTTTCATATTTTACAGCCAATGATTAGCTGTTAAACGGCCGAGTGCTCAACACTAGCGCGTAGGACCCAAGTGATTCGCATTGTTCGCTGGCCGCAACTAAAGTGCTTGTCACTGGTCACGGCCCGGAAGTATCTTTATTTTAGCTTTGTTTGCAGTCGCGCGCGCACACACAGACACACACGCACACACATACGCAGAGGGAGGAAGCCCAAGTGTTATTATCCTGCTTAGCCATAATACGTTGTTAAAATGTTGAGTCTGTCATTTGTTTGGCCCATACTAAAAATCACAAGAAATTGAAAAAATACTGCAAGACTTGGCCAAATAAACGCCTAGGCAGCTTAAGGTGCCAGCGGACAGGGGGAGTTGGGTGTTGGGCGCTCGAAAATTCCTGCAGTTCCTGTGGGAATCGTTGACAGGCGCGTGGCCATTTTGTATATCGACTTTATTAACTTTTAAGCACAGCCAAAAAGGAAATGCCGAGCGGCGCTGCCTTTGATTTGCGGCCATTTTGTGTAGCTTCCGTTTTGCATATTTTCGCCTTTTGTTGTTGTTATTTTTGTAGCTACCTGAAGTAGCAAAAAAATAAATAAATAAAATAAAAAGCAACAACAATAATGCTTGTTTTGAGGTTCGCTGCGTTTAGGTTCTTAACAATTAGGTTCATTAAATTTCAATTAATTTGATTAATTGAAGCAGAAATATGCGTTTCATTTGATTTGTTGTGATGGGCGCAAGTAGCTGGCTTATGCTATTTGTACCCCTCCTCACTCTTTCTCTCTCTCTCTCTCACTCTCTCTCTCTCTCTCTCTCTCTCTCTCTCTCTCTCTCTCTCTCTCTCTCTCTCTCTCCCACTGGCCCGTCTCTCACGCTTTGCTACTTTTCTTTTGTTGTACGCTTCAATTGCAATTAATTACGGCAGCCAAACCACAATTAAAATTAATTTGCCTGTCTAAAAAAAAAGAAAACAAACGAAAAAAGCAAAACTGGGAAAATAAAGAAAATTCAAGCAAAACGCATGCCGGAAGCAGCGCAAAGCTGCGCCCAAGTCCTTTGCATCCGCACTTCCGCATCCGCACGGGCTGGG